AAGGTTTTAAGCCAAGATGAATATTTTGTTGCTTAGTGTGTTAATTTTAGCATTGTTTTACCCGGTAAAAGTATTTTCACAAACTGGAACCGATGTTAATAATTTGTTGACGCATTTATTTACAACTCGGGGTTACAACAAGAAAATTCGGCCACTTACTGACCAGAACACAGCGGTACAAATTGGCTTGGACTTCTTCTTGAATGGTGAGACTTGTTCTTTTTAATACATTCTTTAATCTTTTGAATTTGTATAACGTTCTTTACCTTTTTTGGAATAGATTCGGAAACTGTTCTGTGCAAGTTTTAAAGTCTGATAAACAGAGGTCAATAAATGCGTGTAGGTTCAATATGGAATTTATTGAACGAGTTGAATTAAATTATAGTTCTATGCAAGTCTCTAGTAACCATATTGTTGTCTTTTCATATAAAAAATCAATAAATTTTGTATTGAAGCAATACGGATATAATACAATTAAATTAAGTCAATTTACCCAAAACATTAAAAACTACATTTTTTTTTTCAACTGACGCGAAAGGCAGATTGACTGATTACAAAGCGTCGAACGCATATGATTAGTTTAATGTGAAACGTAAATCGTTCCATTTCTTGTTAGGATATTAAATTGTGAACATTGAATTTGACATTTTGTAGAGGGAAATTCAATAAAGTCTTTTCACGTAGTACAATTTATTGAAACATTTGCGCATTGGAACTCAAACCGTGCATTATAATTCAACAACTTACTGGTTTCTAAATAATTAGCAATTTTGATTTCATGTCTGATGTCATATGACGTTTGAACACACCTTTCTTATGTAATCGTATATTTTAGTTTTCACTAAACGATTTAGTTGATTTCATTTATTTACCAGGAAAAAAATAGGGTAAACCATGTTAAAGGAATAATTGAACTGTGCCAGGTCAAAACTAACATAATGGGTTTGCGGCCACCATGGGTCCATACCAGTCTGCGCATCTGCGCAGTCTGATCAGGATCCATGTTGTTCGCTATCAGTTTCTCTACTTGCGCAGACTGGTCTGGATCCATGCTGGTCGCAAACGCATTTTAGTGTCCAACTTTATTTGTCATCCAATGTTAATTTTCATAGAAGAACAAATGTCGATACTATATCAAATTCTGTTCATAGTCACCTTCTATTTTTCATAGTACTTCATAGAACCGCGTTGTTAAAATAGTCATTTGCATAAATTTGCACATGCGCTTTCATGGGCCGCTTTTAAGTAAAAAGGTCAACCTACATGAATTTTGTATTTATGGTTAAGGTTCAGATTTAAATCCACGTCCTGGCGAAAAAAATATGGCACGTGTAAACAAAATGTCAATTAATATTTTTTATTGCGAATGTAGGAAAATGTTTGAATTAATTTAAACTAAGAGGAAAATCACGTGTGTGAGTGTGTGTAAGGTCATTGTGTAAGTAGTGTGTCAGTGCTTGTGTAGTGTCATGTGTGACTTGTTTGCTGTCTGCATCATAATCAGTCAGTATGCATTGTGCCATGCCATAATGTAAGTAGTAGTGGACTGTGTGTCAGGCCAGTGTTTGAGCTGTAACCTGTTTGTCAGTGTGTGAGAAGTGTCCTGTCTGCCAGTGTATGAGTAGTGTCGTGTGTTATTGTGTCAGTCCATATATGTGTTTGAATAATATACGGTGTGTCAGTAGCACCCTATGTGTTAGTGTAAAGTTTTGTGTGGTTTGAGTGTTTATATGTTATTGTTTGAGTTGTGTTCTGTGTGTCGGTGCGTGTCATTTCTTTGAGTAGTGCTATGTGTGTCAGTCGTATGCTGTGTGTGGCATTATGTGACTAGTGTCCTGTGTGTTAACTGTGTATCAGTTGTGCCATAAGTGTCAGTGTGTGAATGGTGTCATATGTGTTATTAGTATGTCTGTGTTTGAATAGTTTACAGTGTGTGTCAGTAGCTCCTTATGTGTTGGTGTGTAAGTACAGGTTTGTGTTTGAGTGTGTGACAGTGTGTGCGTTCTATGCTGTGTGTGTATTGTGATAGCCGTTTACTGTGTGTCTGAAGCGTCCAATGTGTCGCGTAGTGTAGTGTGTGAGTATTGTCCTATTGGTAAGTGTAAATCTTCTGACTGTCCTGTGTGTTTATTTGTGTAATTGTGTCAAACGTTTCCCGTCTGTCAGGCTATGCGTAGTGTCCTGTCTCTCAATGTGAGATTAGTGCAACTTGTTCTGTCTGTCAGTGTATGATAAGTGTCCTGTCTGTCAGTGTGTGCGTAGTGTCCTGTCTGTCAGTGTATGATAAGTGTCCTGTCTGTCAGTGTATGATAAGTGTCCTGTCTGTCAGTGTGTGATAAGTGTCCTGTCTGTCAGTGTGTGAGTAGTGTCCTGTCTGTCAGTGTGTGAGAAGTGTTCTGTCTGTCAGCGTGTGAGTAATGTTCTGTCTGTCAGTGTGTGATAAGTGTCCTGTCTGTCAGTGTGTGAGTAGTGCCCTGTCTGTCACTGTGTGCGTAGTGTTCTGTCTGTCAGTCTGTGAGTAGTGTTCTGTCTGTCAGTGTGTGAGTAGTGTCCTGTCTGTCAGTGTGATAAAAGTGTCCTGTCTGTCAGTGTATGATAAGTGTCCTGTCTGTCAGTGTATGATAAGTGTCCTGTCTGTCAGTGTATGATAAGTGTCCTGTCTGTCAGTGTATGATAAGTGTCCTGTCTGTCAGTGTGTGATAAGTGTCCTGTCTGTCAGTGTGTGATAAGTGTCCTGTCTGTCAGTGTATGATAAGTGTCCTGTCTGTCAGTGTGTGATAAGTGTCCTGTCTGTCAGTGTATGATAAGTGTCCTGTCTGTCAGTGTATGATAAGTGTCCTGTCTGTCAGTGTATGATAAGTGTCCTGTCTGTCAGTGTGTGATAAGTGTCCTGTCTGTCAGTGTGTGCGTAGTGTCCTGTCTGTCAGTGTATGATAAGTGTCCTGTCTGTCAGTGTATGATAAGTGTCCTGTCTGTCAGTGTATGATAAGTGTCCTGTCTGTCAGTGTGTGATAAGTGTCCTGTCTGTCAGTGTATGATAAGTGTTCTGTCTGTCAGTGTATGATAAGTGTCCTGTCTGTCAGTGTATGATAAGTGTCCTGTCTGTCAGTGTATGATAAGTGTCCTGTCTGTCAGTGTATGATAAGTGTCCTGTCTGTCAGTGTGTGATAAGTGTCCTGTCTGTCAGTGTGTGAGTAGTGTCCTGTCTGTCAGTGTATGATAAGTGTCCTGTCTGTCAGTGTGTGAGTAGTGTCCTGTCTGTCAGTGTATGATAAGTGTCCTGTCTGTCAGTGTGTGATAAGTGTCCTGTCTGTCAGTGTGTGATAAGTGTCCTGTCTGTCAGTGTATGATAAGTGTCCTGTCTGTCAGTGTGTGATAAGTGTCCTGTCTGTCAGTGTGTGATAAGTGTCCTGTCTGTCAGTGTATGATAAGTGTCCTGTCTGTCAGTGTATGATAAGTGTCCTGTCTGTCAGTGTATGATAAGTGTCCTGTCTGTCAGTGTGTGCGTAGTGTCCAGTCTGTCAGTGTATGATAAGTGTCCTGTCTGTCAGTGTATGATAAGTGTCCTGTCTGTCAGTGTATGATAAGTGTCCTGTCTGTCAGTGTATGATAAGTGTCCTGTCTGTCAGTGTATGATAAGTGTCCTGTCTGTCAGTGTATGATAAGTGTCCTGTCTGTCAGTGTGTGATAAGTGTCCTGTCTGTCAGTGTGTGATAAGTGTCCTGTCTGTCAGTGTATGATAAGTGTCCTGTCTGTCAGTGTGTGATAAGTGTCCTGTCTGTCAGTGTGTGATAAGTGTCCTGTCTGTCAGTGTATGATAAGTGTCCTGTCTGTCAGTGTATGATAAGTGTCCTGTCTGTCAGTGTATGATAAGTGTCCTGTCTGTCAGTGTGTGCGTAGTGTCCAGTCTGTCAGTGTATGATAAGTGTCCTGTCTGTCAGTGTATGATAAGTGTCCTGTCTGTCAGTGTATGATAAGTGTCCTGTCTGTCAGTGTATGATAAGTGTCCTGTCTGTCAGTGTATGATAAGTGTCCTGTCTGTCAGTGTATGATAAGTGTCCTGTCTGTCAGTGTGTGAGTAGTGTCCAGTCTGTCAGTGTGTGAGTAGGGTCCTGTCTGTCAGTGTATGATAAGTGTCCTGTCTGTCAGTGTATGATAAGTGTCCTGTCTGTCAGTGTATGATAAGTGTCCAGTCTGTCAGTGTGTGAGTAGGGTCCTGTCTGTCAGTGTATGATAAGTGTCCTGTCTGTCAGTGTATGATAAGTGTCCTGTCTGTCAGTGTATGATAAGTGTCCTGTCTGTCAGTGTATGATAAGTGTCCTGTCTGTCAGTGTGTGATAAGTGTCCTGTCTGTCAGTGTATGATAAGTGTTCTGTCTGTCAGTGTGTGCGTAGTGTCCAGTCTGTCAGTGTATGATAAGTGTCCTGTCTGTCAGTGTATGATAAGTGTCCTGTCTGTCAGTGTATGATAAGTGTCCTGTCTGTCAGTGTATGATAAGTGTCCTGTCTGTCAGTGTGTGATAAGTGTCCTGTCTGTCAGTGTGTGCGTAGTGTCCTGTCTGTCAGTGTTTGCGTAGTGTTCTGTCTGTCAGTGTGTGAGTAGTGTCCTGTCTGTCAGTGTATGATAAGTGTCCTGTCTGTCAGTGTGTGATAAGTGTCCTGTCTGTCAGTGTGTGCGAAGTGTCCTGTCTGTCAGTGTGTGAGTAGTGTTCTGTCTGTCAGCGTGTGAGTAGTGTTCTGTCTGTCAGTGTATGATAAGTGTCCTGTCTGTCAGTGTGCGATAAGTGTCCTGTCTGTCAGTGTATGATAAGTGTTCTGTCTGTCAGTGTATGATAAGTGTCCTGTTTGTCAGTGTATGATAAGTGTCCTGTCTGTCAGTGTATGATAAGTGTCCTGTCTGTCAGTGTATGATAAGTGTCCTGTCTGTCAGTGTATGATAAGTGTCCTGTCTGTCAGTGTGTGATAAGTGTCCTGTCTGTCAGTGTGTGATAAGTGTCCTGTCTGTCAGTGTATGATAAGTGTCCTGTCTGTCAGTGTGTGATAAGTGTCCTGTCTGTCAGTGTGTGATAAGTGTCCTGTCTGTCAGTGTATGATAAGTGTCCTGTCTGTCAGTGTATGATAAGTGTCCTGTCTGTCAGTGTGTGATAAGTGTCCTGTCTGTCAGTGTGTGATAAGTGTCCTGTCTGTCAGTGTGTGCGTAGTGTCCAGTCTGTCAGTGTGTGATAAGTGTCCTGTCTGTCAGTGTATGATAAGTGTCCTGTCTGTCAGTGTATGATAAGTGTCCTGTCTGTCAGTGTATGATAAGTGTCCTGTCTGTCAGTGTGTGATAAGTGTCCTGTCTGTCAGTGTGTGCGTAGTGTCCAGTCTGTCAGTGTATGATAAGTGTCCTGTCTGTCAGTGTATGATAAGTGTCCTGTCTGTCAGTGTATGATAAGTGTCCTGTCTGTCAGTGTATGATAAGTGTCATGTCTGTCAGTGTATGATAAGTGTCCTGTCTGTCAGTGTATGATAAGTGTCCTGTCTGTCAGTGTGTGAGTAGGGTCCTGTCTGTCAGTGTATGATAAGTGTCCTGTCTGTCAGTGTATGATAAGTGTCCTGTCTGTCAGTGTTATGATAAGAGTCCTGTCTGTCAGTGTATGATAAGTGTCCTGTCTGTCAGTGTATGATAAGTGTCCTGTCTGTCAGTGTATGATAAGTGTCCTGTCTGTCAGTGTGTGATAAGTGTCCTGTCTGTCAGTGTATGATAAGTGTTCTGTCTGTCAGTGTGTGCGTAGTGTCCTGTCTGTCAGTGTATGATAAGTGTCCTGTCTGTCAGTGTGTGATAAGTGTCCTGTCTGTCAGTGTGTGATAAGTGTCCTGTCTGTCAGTGTGTGCGTAGTGTCCAGTCTGTCAGTGTGTGATAAGTGTCCTGTCTGTCAGTGTATGATAAGTGTCCTGTCTGTCAGTGTATGATAAGTGTCCTGTCTGTCAGTGTATGATAAGTGTCCTGTCTGTCAGTGTGTGATAAGTGTCCTGTCTGTCAGTGTGTGCGTAGTGTCCTGTCTGTCAGTGTGTGATAAGTGTCCTGTCTGTCAGTGTATGATAAGTGTCCTGTCTGTCAGTGTGTGATAAGTGTCCTGTCTGTCAGTGTGTGATAAGTGTCCTGTCTGTCAGTGTATGATAAGTGTCCTGTCTGTCAGTGTATGATAAGTGTCCTGTCTGTCAGTGTATGATAAGTGTCCTGTCTGTCAGTGTGTGATAAGTGTCCTGTCTGTCAGTGTGTGCGTAGTGTCCAGTCTGTCAGTGTATGATAAGTGTCCTGTCTGTCAGTGTATGATAAGTGTCCTGTCTGTCAGTGTGTGATAAGTGTCCTGTCTGTCAGTGTGTGCGTAGTGTCCTGTCTGTCAGTGTTTGCGTAGTGTTCTGTCTGTCAGTGTGTGAGTAGTGTCCTGTCTGTCAGTGTATGATAAGTGTCCTGTCTGTCAGTGTGTGATAAGTGTCCTGTCTGTCAGTGTGTGCGTAGTGTCCTGTCTGTCAGTGTGTGAGTAGTGTTCTGTCTGTCAGCGTGTGAGTAGTGTTCTGTCTGTCAGTGTATGATAAGTGTCCTGTCTGTCAGTGTGTGATAAGTGTTCTGTCTGTCAGTGTGTGCGTAGTGTCCTGTCTGTCAGTGTGTGAGTAGTGTTCTGTCTGTCAGCGTGTGAGTAGTGTCCTGTCTGTCAGTGTGTGAGTAGTGTTCTGTCTGTCAGTGTGTGATAAGTGTTCTGTCTGTCAGTGTTTTGATAAGTGTCCTGTCTGTCAGTGTGTTGCGTAGTGTCCTGTCTGTCAGTGTGTGAGTAGTGTCCTGTTTGTCAGTGTGTGAGTAGTGTTCTGTCTGTCAGTGTGTGCGTAGTGTTCTGTCTGTCAGTGTGTGAGTAGTGTCCTGTCTGTCATTGTGTGAATGGTGTACTGTCTGCCAGTGTGTGAGTAGTGTTTTGTCTGTCAGTGTGTGCGTAGTGTTCTGTCTGTCAGTGTGTGAGTAGTGTTCTGTCTGTCAGTGTATGATAAGTGTTCTGTCTGTCAGTGTGTGAGTAGTGTTCTGTCTGTCAGTGTGTGAGTAGTGTTCTGTTTGTCAGTGTGTGAGTAGTGTTCTGTCTGTCAGTGTGTGAGTAGTGTTCTGTCTGTCAGTGTGTGAGTAGTGTCCTGTCTGGTCTGTGTGTTAGTGTGTGAGTAGTGTTCTGTCTGTCAGTGTGTGATAAGTGTCCTGTCTGTCAGTGTGTGAGTAGTGTTCTGTCTGTCATTGTGTGAGTGGTGTACTGTCTGCCAGTGTGTGAGTAGTGTTTTGTCTGTCAGTGTGTGCGTAGTGTCCTGTCTGTCAGTTTGTGATAAGTGTCCTGTCTGTCAGTGTATGAGTAGTGTTCTGTCTGTCAGTGTGTGAGTAGTGTCCTGTCTGTCAGTGTGTGAGTAGTGTCCTGTCTGTCAGTGTGTGAGAATGGTGCTCCGTAAATTCCGTTCATTGTGAAAGCTATGAATTGTGTAAATTATGATTTATATTGAAATTATAAGTCATTTTTATTATTGTTGTTGTTAGTATTTTTAGTGGAGTAGCGGGGGGTCGAACTCGCAACCCCTAGACTTGTAGTCAGACAGTGTTACCACTGCACCACAGCGCCCGCTCTGATTTATAACTATTTTGTAGTCCCTATATACATTATCACATTAGTAAACAAGAAATTGAGTAATACAATTGACTTTTCACACCTAAATAGTAAATGTAGCTTTTAGGTCTATAGTGTTTTTCAATGGCTGACATTCGTGTCCTTGCTCGAGGGGCTATGATAAAGGACTAGACACAAACGAGTACTGAAAGTAAATAAATATAATTAGATAATTGGAAGTTTCTTATTTCTGTAGAACAGCACGACATGTTGGTTTTGTCATGGTGCGGCTCAAATTTATTAACATTCATCTGTTACATAATTTCAGCAATAATTGACTTTGACGAACAAGACGAAAGTTTAAAAACGTCTGGTTATCTAAGTTTTATCTGGCTAGATGAATACTTGACGTGGAACCCAGCTGACTACAACTCAACTACCGAAATATTTCTGGTATACACCATTATCTTACATTATACCAATTATTATACCCATATTAGAAAAGAATAGAATATAATAGAAAAGATATTGACTGTAAAAAATGAAAATAAAAAGAGAATAACCTATTCGAACCCACAGAATAATTTTTGTTTTAGAGAAGTTAAGTTTAACCTATCGCGAAGAACTTTTCTTAGCTTACAAAAATGGTAAACCGTACTCAAAACATCTAATTTTGATGTGAAAAAAAAGCGCATATAGAACTATTAATGTGCATAAGGTATACGTCATATTAGTGCTTTTACTTTTGATATTGAATTTTAAGCCCCAGGACGATATATGGAAACCAGATGTAGCGATAAGAAATGCCTTCAAATCCTTTACTGGACTCGGATCCTCATTTCTAAATGTCAGGGTTACTTCGGATGGATTAGTTTGGTGGAATCCATTTCAGGTATATGTCTTCTGAATATAAAACAGTAAATTTATTTAATATAAAAGGAGATGAGATTATGTTATAATTATGGTAGTGTGGCACCGTATATTTGTTTACTTTTTCATATTCTTCTTAATTTATCATACTACTATCTATACAAAATACTTCGTTTACTTATCATATATTTACTTCATTAAAGAATGAAGGTCCTATTAAAAAACTTTGTCGAGTATCGCATAAATATCGCATAAATTCGAAGCCTCTGTGTCGTCATAATACCTTAATGTATATTTTGTTCCGCGAGAGCGTGCTTACCTATTGTGACGTCATTCATTATCTGAGAAAACACCAATATGGCGGCTCGCATAAACTTTCCGTTATATTCAGGTGCTTGAATCAACTTGCGCCGTTGATATCACGTACTTTCCGTTTGATAGACAAACTTGCGATTTTTGAAATTCACAGCATGAGTATTATAGCAAAGATGAAGTTGAAATCAACATGGAAGTAAAAGGGGTTGAACTTGAGGACTATGTCGAGAACTCGGCATGGGAACTTACCGGAACTTCTGCAAGAGAGACAAATACCGGAGAAGCGGCGGTTTTCTTCACTTTGAAATTGAAACGTAAATCCGGATTTTATATTTTGAACGTTATCATGCCGGTTGTTTTACTATCTATTTTGAGCGTATTTACATTCGTTTTGCCAATCACATCTGGTGAGAGAGCAAGCTACGCCGTGACGGTGTTCCTGTCGCTGGCTGTGTTCTTAACAATTATCGCGGCCGAGTTGCCAAAGAATTCCGAAAACACATCAGTCCTCGCGGTTTACCTCATGCTCATCAGCAGCTGGAGTACACTGATTGTAGTGTTATGCTTGATCGAATCTAGAATTGCTATCCGTGATGAAAAGAATGTGCCAATCAATGTTTTCTTTATGGCCTTTGTAAAAGCGACTGATTTCTTCACTTGTAAAAGGTGCAAGAAGTCTGTCCGCCCAAAAGAATTTACATCAAAGTCAGAGCTAAAAGAGGTGTTAGAGGAAAATGGCAATGTCATAACCTGGACTCGAGTCGTGAATTCTATGGATTTTGTTTTCTTTTGGTTTTCTCTACTATTCACGTTTCTGTGTACAGTTATCCTAGGATCTATTGCAGTGAATGGACCGAGTTAATAACATAACATGGTACCACATTTACCTATGCCTTATTTTGCTAATCCCTTGATATTAGTTGCCATATCTTTTGCATATCCTTTACCTGTTTCGGATGTTTGGTCACTCTTACTTTACTCATTGTGTGCGTGACATCTATGTGAGTCCATTGTTTGATTGATAATTTACCTTATTGTATTTAAAGCATCACAACAGAAGATTTTCTTTTATTTGACACAATTGTAATTTAATGAAAATTTGGACTTTGTAAGTAAGAATATTGACAAAAAAACTTATAAAGTAACCGAGGCACACATTAGGCGCTTTTGGTACCACATAAATTACGCACTGGATGTTTATACATAGCATCAAGTCTGTTAAAAACAGTAAAGGGACATGGTGATGAATATATCTATGTACAATTGGTAATATCTTTATAACATAATTATACCGTGTAGATAAATGCATGTTTTAGTTAATTTTTTACTGTAAACACCGGTTTATTAATGTATTTACATTTCTTGAGGCGTGCAGATCTAAATTGATTAAGTTTGGTTTAACATTGACAAGTTCAAATGACAGATTATTTTGTACGATAGCACTTATTTTTCAACCTTTTTATAAATTTTAATTTTCTTTCAGCATACTTTAAGATAACGCAGCAGGTTACCGACGTGAAATCGAATATAAACATTATTAAGATAGATGTTTAAATAAGCCTACTGCCAAAAAAAAAGGAGAGAAACTACATTTCATTGGGTTATTGTGTATCCCAATATTGTTAATAACGCCGTAATAGATGATCTTAAGAAAAGAATTCAAAAGATTTGATCTATTGAGATTGCTTTAAAGCGAGAAACGCAAATTGTATGAATACGCCTGGTACATAATTACCTTTAAGTTCTTTTGTTGTAAAAATCCATTTTTTATGTTATTGAAAATATAAGTGATACGTCAAGACTTTAAGAGTGTCATATAGGTTTCTTTAAAAAAAAATTGACATTTTACTTACTTGTATACTTCAATTGTTAAAGTGACCTTCAGATTTTCTAAAGGTTAAACATGTTTGTTTTTTTTTTTAAATAAATCGTTTCATGTAATAATCAAATCAAAAGAATTAAGATGGAAAATGAAATTTGCCGACGATAAAATACATAAACAATAAGGAAACCCCTCGATACCTCCAATCAACCGACCCTCTCTCTGTATTTAGAAACAAACGCAACTGACGCGTTAAAAATAGCTTTCGGGAAGCCTCCAAATATATGATGCATTTTTCCAAGAAATATTACTGAAATACTTTGTTTGAAACAACACAGAATAGATTTTCCAACAGAAAATAAAAGCTGAATGTCGCTTTAACTTTTACTTTATATAATAACGTATAATTATAGCACTGAAGATTTCCAATACAGCGTTGCAAATTAAAAGTATAGATAAGTGGTCTTAAAATTCTATAGAACAAAGCTTGAGTAACTATTTAGTTCAGATTTAGGCCAAAACTTGATTCACCTAATTATTTATCGTGGTTACTTTTTATGGACTTTCACTCTCCGAGTTGCGTGTTTTACAATTAACAAAACCAATATGGTTTAAGAGGGTTTTTCAATTCCAATTCAAATTTGAGCAATCTATAATTCAATAAACAATTACCTTTATATTATTTTTAGCAGATGATACACTACAGAAGTGTTGGTGCAAGACAGACAGAACAACTGTTGTCATTAGGACATTTATAATAGCTGATAGTTCAGTATCAATCTATGTGTTGGCTTTTTTATTCATTTAGTCAGTCAGGGTCAATCATAAAATATCTACTCTACACTATTCAAACATAGACTGAAATGTCAATTTATAAATATTTTTCTTAGGATCGAAAGTTACCATGACGATTCTTCACATTATTTTTGAAGAGTTTTAGTTGTTGTTTTTTTACAGTACATATCTGATCAAATTAACTATTATAAATCAATAATGTTTATTTATCGAAGTGAGAAAATCATTTAACTTATCCGTGTGATAGTTGTTTCTTTATATCATATTATGGCTAAAGACAATTTGATTTGATATATTGTTTCATTATTCAATACTAAGTATTTTGAAGTGAAAAAACTAGTGCAAAACAAACAGCAACAAATAAAAAAGAAAAAAAACATGACAAGATTTCCCTGCTTAGCACTGCATCAACGAGAGAAAGCGACATTCACAAAATGAAGCTCCAAACAAAAGCTGGCAGACAATACCGTCAGTTAGGTACCCAGCAGTTGACCGAACATTAACAACAAAACAAACAAAACAAAAACAGGAAGGAAAAAAATTACAAATGATAGTTTAAAGTCTCAGTTGTAGATAACGGTACGATTCGAATAATTAATAAAATAGTGATCTTTCGTATTTTGTCGGAACGTTTCTGTAATCATCGCCAGTCGGGTCAGGAAATATATTTCCGCCAACAACAGTAGCATTTTCACCTCAACAGGACTTGTTTGCACACCTGAAACATTCTCAAGAAATGATACCCCGGGTGTATACCCACCAAGTTTATAACCAGTAAAGTCACCACTGCAGCAATCTGAGCATCACTGGCGCCATTAATACCGTGGGTAGCTCAAAGGTCAAGGTCACACTTAGCTTTGAAAGTAAACTAAGCATATTTCTGTTTACAACATTACTATTTCTTTCTTTTTTCATTATTTTGATAAGTCTTATCACAAGTTTAAATGCTCAAATTGAAAATACTAATCTTTATTCATATCTAACCTTTACATTAAAATGCAAATGTATAGGAAACCAATGAAAACAAAGTAGCTGAAAATCCGTTTCGGCAGACATTCTTTATATTTAGAATAGTCAGTTTCTTTTGGTAGCCCGCAACTTATAAGGCAATGGAATGTTAGTAACCCGCGAGTGTTTGGATTCCAGTGTGTGCGGCTTGTTTGGATCTTCTCTGGCAAAGTTGAATCTCTTGATCAGGTAAACAAACACTAAGAATAGCTCCATTCTTGCCAATGGTTCGCCAATGCATACACGGGGTCCTAAACCACAACATACCCAAGAGATTAAAACTAATTACATCATATATAGAATAATAAGAATATATTATATCACAAATTTGAACCTTTCAACTGCTATGAACCCGACATCCTTGTATTATTTATTTATCATTTTATGTAATATTCACCCGTCGAAAAGTCAAAAATTGATTCATTATAAAATCTATAATTAGCTTTTATATCGCTTATCAAATCTACCTGATGCACACTTAAAAATTACAAGAAAAAGGTTCAAACGATAGTGAGATAACTTGCAACTGAAGCAATAGCTTTTAACATTCCTACGTAAATTATAAGATATTTAATTTGGGGACATTGAACACTCTGCAAAAATAGTGTACATTGTGTAACATGAAATGCAAAGAGTTTATAACAAATACATCATTAGACATAGAACATGCTGTGTACAAAAAAGAAACATGTTTACCAAAATGTATGAGTCCAAATAATAAAATCTCACCTGTTGAAAATGGCAGAAGAGCTTCGTTCTTTAACAGGTTACCCTGTCCATCTAGAAATCTGTCTGGATCAAATTTTTCTGGATTCGAGAAATACTTTGTATCCATATGAACAGAATAGAGTGAAGGTATAATCATGGTTTTAGCGGGAATATTGTATCCTCCAAGTGACGTGTCTGCACTGGTGCCGTGCGCGACGTTCAGTGGTACTGCAAAATATTATTTTGTGACAATTATATTCGTATAAAGAATTAAATATCGTACCAAGGGAGCAGCAAAGAACACTCTTTGGCTGCAAAGTCGCTCTCGAAACAGGGATTGTGACCTATAATTGTTCCATAGACTGGTGACGAAATGAATTAGGTCTGAGGCCAATTATGCAATCTTAAATAGCTGTTTTCATAAGATTTAAATCACTCATAAAACTACTTATGGTGGCTGTAATACAGATGCCATCTCTTGTTTGTTACAATTGTTATCAGTAGAAGCAAGGTTGAAATAATTGGTCACGCTATAATTGTGAAGTATGACCTCGCAACATTGGACATGTATTTTGTATAGTTTCCCAGTTCTTTAACATAACAATTTTCCATTAAAGTCCAGCTGTATAGAAAATCAGATCCATGGCAGGAACTAGGCTATTTCCAAAAACTGACGAACTGTAGCAGTAAAGGTTGTATTCCGTACATGTATGTACAAGTAATAGTGGCTCACAGTTACAAGGACAGAATACATAAAAAAAAGTAAACAAGACTTGACTCCATTTGGGTTAACTATTGCAGATTCAAAACCCATTTCTTATAGAAAATATAATATCAAGCAGTAACGATGATAAAGGTATTTAAATGCTACATATATATTGATAAAGATTGGATTGTGATATTTATTGCTAGTAACGATGAAATTCTATGAGATTATGTAGAATTGGAATAAATGTGATAACCTAAATGAGCACATCTCTGAATTTCCATAATGACGGCATTTACGTATATAAGCTTGGTACGATCTGAATATTCTATGACCTTGTCACCAAGTACCTGAAAAATTGTCATTAAAACATCAGGTTTAAGTTAGCTGTGAACAACTTTACTTCAAAACATACAATATACATGTATATATATCATTAACATATTGTCTCGTTAAAATGTTCTCATAACATAGAATTTTGTTAAGACATTCCGACATATTGAGTGAAATTAATGTCCTTGAAAATGCTCTGGCGACTGAGCACTGTATTCGGATACTAAGAAACCTACAAAAAGTAATAGGCAGCAGCAAGACATTACCGGAAAAGCAACTTAATCTTGTACTCAAGTTGGGCCTTGAGTTTTCTTTATAATACTGGACGTAACGCCGATTTTCATATGTTTTTATATGACCTTTATATAGTAAATAGTTAAAAATCACGGCTACTATAAATTTATGAAAATATTTTCATTTTCCCCATACTAAGGAATTGTGCTGCGGAACTATTATATGCTTGTTCATGAAAATTTTGAGTGTAAAAACAAATGTCGGGACTAGCGACACCACTCTTATTAGTTTACATCCTCATATTCTGGGCCAATTAACCTGTCAGGAACTTTATATTAACATAACAGAAACAAACAATGCAAAACTAAACTTGTAAAATACTTCGGAAATAGTAAATCAAACTACAAAATACAGTTTTGCAACTATAATTAATGTATTTCACTATACATGTACTAAGAATGCTTACTTTATCAATCTCATCCTGACATTTTTTCTGGACTTCCGGGAATTCTGTCATAAATAAAAACGCCCAATCTAACGTTGTTGACGTAGTTTCAGAACCAGCAAAGAATAGATCAAAGATAACGCGGAACATGTTTCCCTCTGAACAAAAAAAAAGAAAACAGTGCTGTTAATTCAATTATGTATAAATACAATTGTCAAAAATTAGCAGGTAAATTCATATTTGACGGGACTTATAACATGTATAATATCTGTTATATGTTGCGGTTGAGATCGAGGGACGGACATTCCGATCCGAACCGCAAACATATATCAGATATTATTTTCTTGCATATTCTATGATATTCTATTGCATTTTAAATTCTTTACCTTAATAAAACAAATTTTCATGGAAATTTATGGCATTATATCCGTTTCTATTTTCTTACAACAACAGCGTATAAAATTACAACATCATTCATAACGGGAAAATTACGTCATCAAAAACATGCAATTGTATAGCACTCGATGAAATTTCTGGCATGGGTATAACACCAGTCTGATAAGCACGAATACAGGTTATTCATATTTGAATGATTGTTAATACTAGAATAGAAATGTTTTAATTTTAAACAACGCATTTATAAATTACCAGACAGCTTGCAAATAATGAAAGACCTGAACAACACGATATGGTATGATGGTGAACTCTATGAATTCTACTTTCTTTTCATTTAAATTTCAGCACGAGGATGAATGAAAACGTGGAATTGATTGAAATAAAACATAAGTATTTACTTGTTACAAATTTCCGTATGCTTTCGTCCCCTTCAGTCTTAGTTTGGATATAGATATCAACAAAGTCCCGGATGTTGTCTCTGTCAAACGTAGCCTCGTGTTCTTCTATTTGTTGGAACACATATTTGCGCATTTTCTTGACACTTTGCCACCGGCTCTCGGTGACATCAAAATCCTTGTTGAAAAGTTAAACGAAAATTAATTTTTATTTTGGTTTAGTCGCTTTTCTAGATTCTTAACACTGCATAGAACATTAAGTTAGGGGTTTGAAGGTCATTTTATTTATTGAATATGGTCTTGGTTCAGATGAAATCCTTTTAAATATGTGAAAAAGGCCTTATGATGACTGGCAAACGATTTGAACGCGGAGATTTTAAAAATTTGCACACCAAACCAGGTCTTCAATTCAATATAAAAGCTTTTATTTTCATTGCTGTAGAGGAATATCCATTTTTCCAGATTTCCATATTTACAAAAAGATGGTATTTTAAACAAAAATGATGAATGATCGTTTCCTTTAATAAGTAAAACAAACAATGCTAAAAAATAAAAAGTTACAATTTAAAAGTTACGCCATGTCGTTAAACAATTATAAGTCTTTCTCAGTGAAACCAGGCATAAGTATTCATTCAAGCTTTCCGTCCGCTATTGAGTTGACAGGAGGAAAGAATATATAATGGAATTGATTAAGAAGAATTTACTTTTGATTAGACAGTTTAATACCTTTTGAAAAAAACACATGTTTTCGAGGATTGTTACAAACTATAAATTATTTTGGACAGAAGTGTATACATCCAGAAAGCGATTAATAAGAATTATCAAAACATGGAGTTTTTTTTTAAAAAAAGGCTCTCTTATGTATGATGGATTATTTAATAATTTTTCTTTTGATATACGGCAACCTTTGTTTTAATGTTCATTTTATCCCAGATTGTCACCCTACCATCTAGCTAATTGTAAACGTTGCATTGCAGTTCTTGCTCGTTGGATATTTGAACATGCCCAAGTGTCTTCAAAAGAAGTTTTGCACGTGGAAGGAAATTTAATTATTAGATTTTTATGAATCTAACCAAAAACTGAAAGAGACGATGTTTCATGATTCTTAAATTTAATGAATTGAAGTAAGTTATATCTATTTGATTACGTTTGTAATTTCAGTTATAGATAAAATTCAGCTTTGTTTTGCTCTACACAAGTCTGGTTATGTCGGCTGTGTATGCGAAAATGAGGTACCATATGAGAATTTTTTTTTTTAAAGTAGTATCTTCATTATAAAGAGTAAAATTATATTCTGATAATTAATGATTTGTTATCAACATATAATTTACACGAAAAATTAGTAACCCACTCAACAACATAAAATACACTACTTTACAGTGTTGAAAATTGAGTTCTACTTAAGACGGTGCTAGGGGGCGTGAGAGGTGTTGTACTTCCTTCTCCTTATGAGCAGACTCAATCTAGCCGAGTCGGCAATTTTCATTTTAAATAAAGGTTGTGTTTTAATTGCTCTTGAGGAACGTACCTTTCTTCAGATTGTTTAGCCCTATTTTATTGTTCTTCTTAATCAATACATACCTTTTCCGCCAGTTGACATATGACATATATCCCGGTTGAGCGAATGATTAGCTTACATAAATTTTGGTAAAGTAAATACAAACTTTAGGGTAATTGAAGATAAACGTTCTGGCTAATAAAAATAACAGCGGACATACCTTCCGGTTGACCAACTTAACAAGAAATTTTGGCATAAAGGTAGATGGGCTGACGGCACCTGCACCGCTTACAACAATGTTAGTCAGTGCTCGAGTTTTATCGAATTCCGGATCGTCATATTCATACCTGAAAAACAGAAAATTATATTATATTGAAACTCTTCAATTCTAATATGCTTCACAAAGTACCCTATTTAACAGTCTAGTGCATTATTTCACGATATATTCACAGCATAAAAAGGGAATGTGTATACGTCATATGACGTCATATTTGACGTCAATTAATCAAATGACGTAAGGAAAATTACTTCTCCGCTCAATGTAGTCGAACATAATTATTTTCAGAAATTCTCTTTCTTATAAGCATGTTTATCCTTCAAATGCTTTGAAATTTACCACTCAGGTGTCGGACTGTGATTATATTTCTATGCATTTGCAAGTCCATGCACTCAAAATTGATATATATTTGATTTAACATTATTACTTTAAACGAATCACAGGCATGCCGGTGCATATTTAACTTGTTATTTGTCAAAAACATTGCTACTTCAACTAAAGTCTGAAACAGGGAGTGAAAATATCCAACCTTTTACAAAAGATGATTCCAAAGATAACATTTGCTACCACCTTCTGCATTAAATCATTCATTGATGTAGGTTTTCCGTTACTGCCTTCCAGATATTCTGTTGCTGTCTCTATTTCTACAGCTATCTTTTCCTCAATAGAAGCTTTCCCCACTCCAAAATCTCTAAGAGCTTGAAGCGTGAAGCGTCGTAACTCCTTCCAACATTGATCGTATTGTCCTGTCACAATTCCTGACATTACAAGCACATTAGTTATCGTCACTTTAATGTGTTTTATAATTTTCATACTCTGCATTTTATCAAACATAAAGTGATCTAACCTATAGCTGGCGTCTGTGGCCCAGTTACAAAGGTTGTTGAATTCAATAAACTTGCCTCGCACAGCTGTAGGTCCAAATCGCGCCAAATACTTTGGATTCTTACGGAACAACGGTGGTTCTACTTAGGTGCCCACTCATGCCTAAAATAATGCAAGGAGGGGCACATGAGGTTTTCCTCTACCAGTAACGCTGGAAAGTCGCCATATGACCTATACTATGATGGTGCGACATAAATCTCATCATCTGGACATTGGAAAAAAAATCTGAAGAAAATACACTGAAAGACTTTTCTAACGCAACACTTTTTAAATTCGTATTTCACAAAAACAGTTCAAGATATATAACTTATATTTTACCAGAATCGGGTTGACTACTTTTTGCAAATATTTTCAACGAAATCATTCATCCATGACGGATTATCGGTTCCGCACATTCTGTAGGTTTAAAATCAAATTTTTACACGAGGAAATCGAATTTGGCAAAATTTTTCGATTTTATTTCAATATTATTATAGTATTGAGTTAGCAACATTGAAAAATCATAGACATCCTGTAAAACGTAAAATGGCTCGCATGTAATTACAAGAGCACGCACGCGCAATCGACATGCTTCAAGCAGGTCATTCAGCGAGACAGGTAAGTTTGTCTTATATCAAATTTTTAAATACTAATAGTTCGAAGTTAACACTGTTTTATTTATGATATTTGTGATAAGACAAATAATTTGCTCAAGACATTATATTTACTTTCCTATAATTGGATAAAAAAATATCACTTTTGTGTGTATATTTTCATGTGGCGCAAGTTTTTGCCAGAAATGTGTCTATCATAGCCAGACTTCTGTAAAAGTACCAACGCACCGGCCAAGTTGAGGACGATCGGCGGCAAAGCCTCGTGGAAGGGTCACAACACCTGTACAAGATGCCCAGATTATTGCAACTCATCTTTAAAACCGATTTAAGACCGCCGAATCGACTGCATTAACCTCAGTTGGTACACATGGCAGACACATTAGTAGCAAGACCGTTATCAGGCATATTCGAGACCAGAACATTTGAACGAGACGACCATATAGTGACCTTGTCCTTACTGCACTTCATCGTCAACAGAGGGTACAGTGGGCTCGCCGGCATCAGCGTATGACGCGTGCAGAGAAGGCAAAAGTCCTCTTAACGGATGAAAGCCGCTTTAATTTGTTCCATAGTGACGGTTGGGTTCGAGTTAATCGAGGGCGAGGGGAACGGTTGAACGACGCCTGCTTCATTCAACGTGACCGGTATGACGGTGGTTCCGTTATGGTTTGGGCTGGTGTGTCCCTACATACCAAGACCGACTCGATCATCATTCGAGTAAAGCTGACTGCTGTTAATATCTGTCAGGAGAAATGTCTGCCTTGATGTTATTTAATCTAAGAAAAGATTTAGTAATAAATACTAGAATCAATTTCCAAGATATGGAGGCTGGGCAGCACCGCCTGACATAAAAGTGAAATATTCTCAGTTGGAAAACTAGCATGTAATTGTTTAGTTAACACTATTTTTTTTTAGGTATTTTTATCCTTTTCTATCTCAAATCAATATATACATGTAAACAACAAACTCTGATTATTATTTACACCCAAAACAAAGAACTCTGATCATTATTTACACCCAAAACAAACACACATCATTTATCAGCCACTTATATGAAATATCTTTTCACGTATACGTCTTTTATACGAAACAAGACACCTGGCGAGCCCAAGCTCTAACAACTTATGATCAAACAACAATAAAATCACCACAAAATGAAGAACACAAAAAAATGAATATTTTTACAACTCTAAGATACGGTATAAACCACAAACATTCATCCAACAATATTAACTTCACACAATCTAATCAGCATCAGAAAACAACTTAAACTAAAGCACCCAATATTTACATATATACTCAAAACAAAGCAGCAACTAATATAATCTTGCTATAATACCAAACATTCAACCAATATCAACCAATTATATCTTCACAAACAGATATAACTCAACAACCAAAACAACAAATTACAACCAATAAACCCTGATCAATTAAGATCACCACAATTATATTCAACCACTTCAACAAACCAACAAAACTGACTTCAAAACAACAAAATTCTCTTCCCAATAAAAAATAACCCCTCACACTATAAGCGTGTGTCTCCTAACTGATATAAAATCTCTCTCTAAACGCGCATATTTGCTAGCTAAACGATCTGACCTTTAAACATGTATACATACAGCGACTGGTTTAAACATGATATTTACACCCTACTAAAAACAATGTATCACTGTAAAGAAACATTAACTCGTTGTTTCATCTACAATAATATATCACTGTAGGGAAATATTAACTCGTTATAAGATACATATCTACATATAAACTTCATGATTATTCTGACAGCCCCCTACTCAAGAAAACACTCCACTGTTTTCAAACAAAATGAATAATCTACAATGTCTCTTTTCAAGTATCGAGTCTACTTAGGTAATCTGCACACACGTTGTCCTTTCCTTTCACAGCTACTATTCTAAACTTATAGTTCTGTAGAAATAATGCCCATCTCATTATGCGGCCACTTTCAACTTTACATTTCTGAATATACGTTAAAGGAGCATGGTCTGTATGTAGCTCAAATTCTTTCCCGTACAAATACTTGTTGAATTTCTTTATTCCAAATACCATTGCAAGACATTCTCTTTCGATAACCGAGTAGTTTCTTTCTCTATTCAACAATTTCTTACTCGCGTAAGCTATTGGAAGCAGACCATCATCAAACTGTTGAAGAAGTGCAGCCCCAACTCCGGTATCTGAGGCATCACATTGTAAAACAAACGACTTAGAAAAGTCTGGAAGTCGTAGTATTGGTGATCGTGTCAGTACTTGCTTCAATGTCGTAAAGGCTTTTTCATGTTCTGGTTTCCATATGATTTTAATTGGCTGTCCTTTCTTCGTAAGATCAGTCAAGGGTGAAGCAATTTCTGCAAATGAAGCAATGAATTTTCTGTAGTATCCAGCTAGACCAAGAAATGATCTCAGTTGCTTCTTTGACTCTGGTCGCATAGCGTCTCTAATTTTGACTAATTTGTCATCTTCCATTTGCATTTGTCCTTTGCCAACAACATGACCGGTAAATGGTATACTTTCAAATCCAATCATACATTTAGAAGGCTTAACTGTGATATTTGCGTTTCGTATTCTTTCGAACAATTGTCTCAACATCTTCATGTGTCTCTCCCATGTAACCGTATGTCCAAGCACATCGTCAACATAGTTATCAGTATCATTCACTCCGGAAAGCAACTTCCGCATCATTCTATTAAATGTTGCACCAGAATTGACCATTCCAAATGGCATCTTTCTGAATTGGTAACTACCTTCTGTTGTAGAAAATGCTGTGAGATGTCTTGATTCTGCTTCAATTGGTATTTGCCAAAAACCTTTGGTCAAATCAATTTTCGTGAAGAACTTATCTTCTTTAAGTTTCGCCATCACATCCTCAACATTACCCATTGGTTCTGTATCAAACTTTGTTACAGAGTTGAGTCGTCTGAAGTCAATACAAAAGCGGTTTGTATTATCCTTTTTCTTCACCAAAACAATTGGAGAATTATAATCAGAATTTGCTGATTCAATGATACCACATTCAAGCATTTTCTTAATTTCATCCTCTACCGCTGTCCTTTTTGCATATGGTATCGTATATTGTCTAACACGAATAGGTGTTTTGTCAGTCAACTCAATCTTGTGAGATTCAAGATCTGTAGTTCCAGGAACGTCAGTAAAAATATCCTCAAATTCTTGAAGCAACGCATTTACTTCTGATTTTTGTTCAAGTGTTAATTGATCATTAACATTAACATCTCTGTACGTCTCTTCACTCTGTGTGTCTACTAGTTCTAAAAGATTTTCATCATCAACAACCCCATTATCATCATTATTTTCGGCTTCTATTACAGCTACACTCGCACAAATTCTATCTTCTCTTTCTTCATATTTCTTCAGAAGATTTATGTGGTACATTCCAATTCTATCACCTACTTTAACTTTGTAGTCAAACTTGTTAACTGCTTCACTTACAACAAATGGACCTTTCCATTGTAACATCAGTTTATTGTGTGTTGAAGGCAGGAGCAATAAAACTTTGTCTCCTTTCTTAAGACTTCTTGGTCGTGTTTTCTTATCATAATGATGTTTATACTCTTCTTGTGAGTTGCTGAGATTCTCTCTAGCAATCTTGCATGTTTGTTCTAATCTATTTCTCAAATCTAGTACGTACTCATACGTATTACGTGTCTCTGGTACTTCTGTCTCTGTCCATAATTCTTTTAGTGCTTGCATGGGACCTCTAACAGTTCTTCCATATAGAAGTTCAAATGGTGAGAACCCTGTACTTGACTGAGGGACTTCTCTGTATGCAAAGAGAACCGCAGACAAATATCTATCCCAATCCTTAGGTCTTTCTTGGCACATTTTCTTCAACATGCTTTTTAAAATACCATTCATTCTCTCACAAAGACCATTACATTTTGGATTGTAAGGGGTCGTAAACAACTGTTTTAGTGATACTAGTCTACAAACTTCTTCCATAAGTTGTGACGTGAACTGACTACCCCTATCACTAAGTATTTCCGATGGGAAACCTACTCTTGCAAAAATATCTAACAATGCTTCAGCTATATTTTCAGTCTCAATTCTTGGTAAAGCAACAGCTTCTGGGTAACGTGTAGCATAATCAACTACAGTTAATATGTATCTATTTCCCTTTTCCGATACAGGCGTTATTGGCCCTATCAAATCAACCGCAATTCTCTGGAACGGAGTATCAATAATAGGCATTTCACCTAAAGGAGCTTTCTGAAGTCTACCCCTGGGCACCGTCTTCTGACAAATGT